TCTTTAGGAAGGCACTTTGTAAACCAGTCCATGAATGAAAGATTAGCCATTAGATTACTCATTAAATAAAGATTTTATTATCATTATTATTATTACTATTATCATTATTATTATTATTATTATTATTATTATTATTATTATTATTATTATTATTTGCGTTACCAGACATGTGGTATTTCAGTTTCGAACTCAGATCATATCATTTTCAATGTTTTTCCTGTTTGGAGTATATCGTCTGTAAATAACGAATATCATAATATTGCATTTGTTTTCCTTATTACACGACTTGATCATTAATTAAAAACCTGGTCCGCTCTATTCTAAACAAAATGAAATATTCATATAACACAATAATATTTAACCAAAAAAGCCTCAGCTGTATTCTAAAAAGGGTTAAATAAGCGAGATAAATGAGATTAGATTGTTTTTCTTCATAAAGTTTTGACTCTTTAACTACTTGAATGATAGTCCTGTATAACTAAACAGTTTTTTATCTAATCAGTTCCTCATTATAGGTGTACGGATATAATACTTTTTTGACTTTTTAATAATATATATTTAGAGATACTGATAAAACAAAGCGATGGGCACAGTGATTACAAAACACACGAATAAAGAACTATCGATCTTTGATGGGTCCATATTTGGGAGATTTCCGATACACATATCGCTATGACAACAGGTGACATGACAGCTGTCCAGTGGGAACGCGGATGCTTTACTAATCATCTCACAAAATTTTGGACATTTCGAAGTAAAAGTGCAGCTTTCCTCGATGGCAAAGACTGTCATATTTTTTGCAAAAGTCGTTGCGTAAGTTACCCTGTAGCAAGTGTCGGCGTTTATCTTACTGCAGTCCACCAATGACAGGTTTGATTTGTCGCATGAAGATTGCGTGACAGAAGTCCCGTATGAGAAACAGGCTTTGCACTTGATTGACTTCCCTATTGAATGTAGGAAAAAAACCCAAATATCTTCATTAATAAATTTTGATCATAGATATAGTTTTTCTATATATTATTATTTATTTTTAGTAAAAATACGCAGATGATAATAGAAAATCTCTCGCGCTGATTGGTCAAGAAACTCCCACTATCACACGATAATCACCTCGAGCGATAATCCAAAATGGCGGCAAGCCGCTTCGTTGCTGTTAAGGGGGAAAATGCCTTTTATCTTCTTTTTTTTTCTTCCTTCTTTGAAAGAATCACCTGTGTATTTATGCTAAAACAATTATTTGCCTCAGGCTCAGTGATTATTGGGCAATATTTACCTCGCAGCTCAAAGACTCGGTAAATATTCCCCGATAATAACTTCGCCTTCGGCGAATAATTGTTAAATATTATTTATTTATATAAAACAACATCCATTCATCCATCGATCTACCCACCTCTAATGCAAAAAATTAAAAAAGCGTCCGGCAAAACCACACTGTATTCTCAGAAGTAAAACATGAAATTAACACAACACAGGTACCCCACAATTCCTTGCGATGTATGAATTAGCACTTCTCCTTCCTATGTACATATTCCTCTGAAATCATTTTTCAAATGTTGGTTATCTGAGCGACACGAGTGAAAAACGTCTGCGCATGCTGTAGTTATTTATTATGGAAATTAGTAAAGCTATTTGTAAAATATGTAAATATGTAAATCTTCACCTGTATTTGCATATTAACAGCATAGCACGTAAATTGGGGGAAATGAGCGCCCGGATTTGTTATAGCCTGCGTGAAGACCGAATTTAACTTTCGCTAAGACGGCCTGCGAATACTCCTTTTTACAGTTCCATTCAGTAACCACGAATAATAGTTCCTCGATGCTGGAGTTTCTGCGCATAGCAAAACTACAGTTAATCATGAAGGGTAACTCCAGCCTCGGCTAGGAACTATTATTCGTGGACACTGAATGGAACTGTAAAAAGGAGTATTATTGCAGGATATAAAGTTCGTGTTTTGACCCCAAGCCGATTTGCATGATTATATATGTAACAGTCTATGTTTGGCTGCTTTGCCAGCTCATCCTTACATGCGTTCTGATTGGCTCGCACCAGTATTACTCGTCATGAGAAACCTTTCTTAAAATTTCTTAACTATGAGGGTCACGGCGACCAGTGAAAATCTTTGACTCCAAGTCTTGCGGAAGCTTTCTAGTTGCATCTTTAGAAGGCTATTGTACATCACTGTAAGATTAGTTTTATTTTCAAGCGGTACATATTGATTTTTGCAGTCGAGGGTACTTATGGTGTATATGATTGACGAGAATGGCAATAAGCCTGAAGCGAGATGACGTTTTACCCCCGTCTCTAGACCATAATCCTTTTCACACTGCTTTTGTCCTTTAATTATGACTATTGTTCCTGTATTCTCTAAGGAATCAAAATTTTTAATTTGAAAGAATTTAAAAACTATTATGGTATAGAGTCGGGGGTAAAACGTCATCTCGCTTCAGACTTATTGAGGAATCCGAGTTCAAATTCTATTTATCTCTGCAAGCAACACACAACGAAAAACGAGCGTGCGGGTGCGCATGCGCGCTTTATTCACGTGTAGATGAATATAACAAAATAAGAGGTAAAATGTGATCAATGAGCGCGCCGGATTTATCATATTCACTTGCGTAAAATTACTAACTAACATACAGATATTTCACTGTACAATATCAAGTTTAGTATTTACCTTGGATGTCTTTCATTTAAATCCATATTTTGGAGATTTCAAATTTTTTATTCAACACGAAAGAGCACTATAAAACAGACATGACAATATTGAGCAAAACATAAACTTACTCAATTGTACTTTTTGTACGTAACGAAGTTTCGTTATGAAACGTGCGTCCTTTTACGAGCCGTACTTTTACCGCAATGAAACAAAACAAAAATACATTTTTAGTAGCACCAGAAAGAAAATTAGCTGGAAATGATTAACTTACTAAACAAGTAAAATGGACTACTTCGAAGGCGGCCAACTTGCCAGGGGACAAAACAACGATAACGGAAAATGCATAGAGTTTCTTTTGTGTTTGCCTACTTTTATAAATACATGATAAGATGTTAATATAATATCAGATGTCGTCATTACTGTAACAAAACTTAATTTGGCCCCTGAACTAACGCCCCATATTTTCTTGCAATTCAAGATTGGATGGATGGATGGATGGATAGATGGATGGATGGATGGATGGATGGATGGATGGATGGATGGATGGATGGATGGATGGATGGATGGATGGATGGATGGATGGATGGATGGATGCATGCATGCATGCATGCATGCATGCATGGAAAGAGAGTTCTATTCTTCTTACCTTGATGACACAAAAGATGGATTAAGAGGGCAATCAAGAGTGGCGAGCAACGACGAGACATTTTCATCGATCTGGATTGATTCTTGTGAACTGAAATGTTATCACACAATGACAAGTTCAAACTGACAATAATTAGAGTGTCACGCGTAACTCAACATTGTTTGATTAGTGGGAAAATCACCCTTCCTATCCAAGAAAGCAGGGTCTGCAACTATTTTACTATTCAACAGTGCTTTTATGGCTTTGAGATGTTAAGAACCCCAATAAAACACAAAGCAACATGTTATTGATCTAGCTTCTCAATCTCATTTTAATTTGTAACACATTTTTTGTTTGTAGTCTTCATTTCAGTATTATTCATATCGTATAAAAGTCGCTTAAAAATTGAGCATAAAATTTTTAAAGTGCTAGTCTTACGAAAATATTAATGACGCAAAAAATCCCCTATTTTCTATATGCTAAAATAGGTTATAATGTTCACCAATAAACAAAAATTGGTTCGAAAAAGAAACTGAATTCTACTTCTGAAAATTGTTAAAATCTCGTCAGCCATTTCTATGAGCATCAATTTTGTGGTTGCATTTTAATCTATGTGTGACGTCATATGCGCAACTGCCATCCTTTTTATCCACACTGACTCTACAGCATTCTCTGTAAAAAGGCATGACTTGGTTTAAGGCTTGATTTTAAATCAAAAATAGTCGAAATTTGGTTGCAATTACACATTGTGAAAATTTCAATTTTGAAGGGTGGCGCGTATGACGTCACTTCCTTCGAATCACTAAAAGTTGCCAGGAACGCAATCGCTTAATGACGGAATCAAACGGCCTAAATTTACTGGCTAAATACAACATCTTCCCAGTCTCGTATCGAAAAAGAATTTGGACAATAAGCTATATTACATATCTAGTTTTATATGGTAAATTTCCAGGGACGGTGCCATTTTCGTAAGACTAGCGCTTTAAAACTTCGTTCTCGCTCAAAGAATTGAGTCGTAGCGTAATGGTAAAGAAGGTGAGAAAATGCTATAGTCGGTGAGGGTCCCTTGTCCTGGGGGGATGGGGTTTGGCTTGGAGGGTTGCGAAAACTAAACATTCTCATTTACCCTTTTTCTTTCTATAGTTGTTTTTTTTTTTTTTTTTCATATTCACTATATTAGATATATGAAACGTCGCGAGTCTCTATATATGGCTGTGACTAGTCAATTGCCAGTGAATAAATTCACTTTTTTGAATTCTGAGAAATACGCTAACAGTTGACAGAAAGAAAATAAATAATTGTCTTTACAATCGGCGTGCGTGTGAACTTTAAGCTTTGAACTTTTTTTTGTGTACACTCTGTCATGACTTCAAGGTGAAGCGTAAAGTCATTGTGATTTATGTGCAGACTATATATATAATTGCTAATTTGGCTTAAAGCTTAAAAAATGCATGTACATATGAGAAAATTTATAAGTTTGTTGATTCTGTATGTTTGGATTTTTCAGGTTAGGGTGGACAAATGTCAAATTTGTTAAGAAACGCACTCATTGGCTAGAATTTGACAGAAAGTGACAGCAGTTGACGGTTTGACACTTGAAGGGATTGCCGCAAGTCATTTCAAGTCGCTCGGTAGTCTGACGTTTGCCATGTGCGCCCCATGTAAGGGAATCCGGAATCCGGAATCCACAAAATTTTAGGCTTCGTAATCCGGAATCCAGGCCTTGGAATCCGGAATCCCGTTCATAATGGAATCCGGAATAATAACAACAATAATAATAATAATAATAATAATAATAATAATAATAATATTTATTTATAAAGCGCAAATACAAATCTGTTCTAAGCGCTAGTAAACAAACGACAAAGACAACGACAAAATAAAAATTATTTACAAAGAATATGCTAATTTGAAGAGATAAGTTTTAAGTTCAGTTTTGAATAAGGCCAGACTTGATGCATTTCGGAGAGATATTGGAAGTGAGTTCCAGAGTTCAGGAGCAGCTACAGAGAAGGAGCGATGACCATAAGATTTAAGATTATAAGACTGTGCTGCTAGAAGAACTTTGAAATTCAAAGTATAAACGTGTGTTTTCTTGTTCAAACTTCATTGACTTTAGTGACAAAGCCAAGATCCGCCTTTATTGGTGTCAAATGGTTCGGAGGAACTACAGATAATCCGAATGGAGAAGTTGTTATCAAAACAGTCAGTTTCCCTTTGGCCATGCATGCTTTGGTGAACAGGTTTGTTTATGAAATAGCTTTCGGATTTCATCTATATCAAAAAGTGATGATTTTAGGCATGTTTTGGCCCTTTTAAAAGTTAAATGAGCAATGTAATTACTTAGCAATTCAAATTTAGTTAATTTTGAATCATTTTTTTCTTCTAAGTTTTGTAATTGAATGAATCAATTTGGAAATAAAACTATTTTGAGTCACTTCGTTGTGTCGTCTCCGTATTCAATGGAGAGTTGTCGAAGTGATACTTTTCTCAAATTCTGTCAAGGAATGGGGTACGAAATTGAGCATTTCTTTCCATATAAAAGCATTGGAATGACATGGTTTTTGAATGTTTTGCTCCAGCAGGTTCCGTTTTAGTTCATGATATTTGAAGACTCCCTTTATATTTTCATAGAAGCGAGGAGCCTGGTCATGGCGGACGAGCGTTTGTTCTGAATGAAAACGGAAATGATTTTCTGTCGATTGTTAAAAGTGCAACATTTCAGCGACGTTTCAGCGCGATTTGAGGCCGTTTAGTGGGTTCTTTCAAAATCCGCTCTTCTCTACCTAAATAATGGGAAGGCTGGAGACTTAGCACCCGATATCGACTACATCACGCTAGAAAATCCAAAAAAAATCTCTCTCTCTCCCCTTGAACCGCAATAAAAATGCAACATGTCAAAGGAACGATAATTTCTCTATGATATCATGTATTCTGAATGCCACCACACCAAATATTTCCAGAAAAATCCTGGCTTGAAGTCGAATATTTGATTTCTTCTACAGCGTGTGATCGATGGTGTTCAGACGGCCGTTGTAAAGCGTGAGCGGGTCACGTTTCATACTGCATTGTGATACCGGGCTGAAATTAGCAGCCAACTCGGCAGCCAACTCAATATTTCGAAATATTGCCTCGAATGCTATAAATTATGAATGGTATATCCAAAGAAAAGCTTTTTATAAAAATTTTAAAAGTCACAACTATCAAAATAATATTAATATCTTTAATATATTACTTATTAAGTTTTAAACCTGGGTCTTTCTCTGTCACACACTGAATAATTTATTAATGAAAGAACCTCTCAACTAACAATGTCCAATACGGAAATCTCTAACGAAGTTAATTATTAACATTTGCAATTACAACTGTGACATTTATAAACAAACAAAATTACGAAACTCAAAGAACTCGTAATAATCGAGCTTTGTAGATGGAGTAGCAGACACCTTTACTGTGACTATCAAGCCTTGTAGATGGAGTAGTAACCATGGTTACTGTGACAATCGAGCTTTGTAGATGGACTAGCAGACACCTTTACTGTGACAATCGAGCTTTGTAGATGGAGTAGTAACCATGGTTACTGTGTCTATCGAGCCTTGTAGATGGACTAGTAGCTATCGTTACTATGACAATCGAGCTTTGTAGATAGACTAGCAGACACCTTTACTGTGACTATCGAGCCTTGTAGATGGAGTAGTAACCATGGTTACTGTGACTATCGAGCTTTAATAGATGGAGTAGCAGCCATGTTAACAGTGACAATCGAGCTTTGTAGATGGACTAGCAGCCAT